TGACTGACTCACACACCAGGCAAGTGTCCTTCAAAAAGAAGAGAAAAGTTAAGACTGTCACAGAAAAAAACAGGTGTTGAGAGAAACAATTACCTGCTCAGTATAAATGCTAAAGGAAATCCTTCAAGTATAAACAAAATGATAATAGAGAGCAACATAAAGCCATATAAAAATAGTTGATTCTATAGTAAAGGTAAATAGATTTAAAAATATAGAAACCTATACTATTGTAATTTGGACACATAGAATTTAAATGACAAAAAGCATTTTGAAAACGACAAATCTGGGATTTCCCTAGTGGTCCAGTGGTTCAGAGTCTGCCTTGCAATGCAGGAGTCACTGGTTCAATCCCTGGTTGAGGAGCTAAGATCCCACATGCCACGAAGCTACTGAGCCTGCGTCTCACAACTAGAGAGCATATGCTGCAACAAAAGATCCCACATGATGCAACAAAGATCCCACATACCACAACTAAGACCTGACACAGCCAAACAAACAAATAAATAAAAAAACAAAAGAACCCCATAAATCTGTGTTAACAGGCATGTAATATATAAAGATGTGGTTTGTGACATCAGTAAAATAAAGTGTTGGAGGTAGCTATTAAGAAGAAAGTTTTTGCATGCCGTTGAAATTGTTTTTCTCAGTTCTTTAAGATATTTTATGTATTTGCACTGGTAACCCCCATGGTTAATTTTGTGTGTCAGTTTGGCTGGGCTAAGAAATACTCAGATAGCTGATGAAACATTCTTTCTTTTTTTAAAATGTATTTATTTATTTATTTTTGTCTGTGCTGGTTCTTCATTGCTGTATGCGAGCTTTCTCTAGTTGCAGCAAGTGGGGGCTATTCTTCATTGCAATGCTCAGACTTCTCATTGCAGTGGCTTCTTATATTGCAGAGCATGGACTCTAGGGTATATGGGCTTCAGTAGTTGTGACACACAGGCTCAGCAGTTACAGCTCACAGGCTCTAGAGTGTGGGCTCAGTAGTTGTATTGTGATACACAGGCTTAGTTGCCCCTTGGCATGTAGAAACTTCCCAGACCAGGGGTCAAACCCATGTCCCCTGCATTGGCAGATGGATTCTTAACCACTGGACCACCAGGCATGTCCCTGATAAAACATTATTTCTGAGTATGTCTGTGAACTAAGATCCCAAATGTCTCACAACCAAAAAATCAAACATAAAACAGAAGCAATGTTGTAACAAATTCAATAAAGACTAAAAATGGTCCACAGCAAAAAAAAAAAAAAAAAAAACTTAACAAAAATAACATTAAAAGGAATAAAATACTTAGGAATAAACTTAACCAAGGAGGTGAAAGACTTGTACAAAACATTGCTGAAAGAACTTAAAGAAGGCAAAAATAAATGGAAAGACATCACATGGTCATGGATTGGGAGACTTAGTATTGTTAAGAAAGCCATACTAACCAAAATCAATCTACAGATTGAATGCAATCTGTATCAAAATTTCAATGCCATTTTTTAAGGAAACAGAAAATTTCTTCCTAAATTTCACATGAAATTTCAAGTGATTCCAATTAGCCAAAACAATTTTGAAAAAGAAGAAAGTTGGAGGCATCATGTTTCTTGATTTCAAAGTATATTATAAAGCTACAGTATTCAAAACAGTCTATTACTGGTATAAAGATGGACAAATAGACCAAAAGAACAAAATAGAGAGCATAGAAATTAACCCTCGTGCATAGGATCTATTGATCTTCAACAAAGTTATGAAGACCACTCAATAGAAAAAGAGCAGTCAGTTTCTTCAACAAATGGTGTCAGACTGTTAATCAGCTATACCCTAATACAAAACAAAAAGCTTAAAATCTGTAAGAAAAAAAAATAGAGGAAAATAATAGAATGGGAAAGACTAGATCTCTTCAAGAAAATTAGAGATACCAAGGGAATATTTCATGCAAAGATGGGCTCCATAAAGGACAGAAATGGGATGGACCTAACAAAAGCAGAAGATATTAAGAAGATGTGGCAAGAATACACAGAAGAACTATACAAAAAAGGTCTTTACAACCCAGATAATCATGATGGTGTGATCACTCACCTAGAGCCAGACATCCTGGAATGTGAAGTCAAGTGGGCCTTGGGAAGCATCACTACGAACAAAGCTAGTGGAGGTGATGGAATTCCAGTTGAGCTATTTCAAATCCTAAAAGATGATGATGTGAAAGTGCTACACTCAATACGCCAGCAAATTTGGAAAACTCAGCAGTGGCCATAGGACTGGAAAAGGTTGGTTTGGATTCCAATCCCAAAGAGAGGCAATGTCAGAGAAAGATCAGACTACTGCACAATTGCACTCATCTCACACGCTAGTAAAGTAATGCTCAAAATTCTCCAAGCCAGGCTTCAGCATTACGTGAATCATGAACTTCCAGATGTTCAAGCTAGTTTTAGAACAGGCAGAGGAACAAGAGATCAAATTGCCAACATTCAATGGTCATTGAGAAAGCAAGAGAGTTCCAGAAAAACATCTATTTCTGCTTTATTGACTACTCTAAGGCCTTTGACTGTATGGATCACAATAAACTGTAGAATATTCTGAAAGAGATGGGAATACCAGACCACCTGACCTGCCTCTTGAGAAATCTGTATGCAGGTTAGGAAGCAACAGTTAGAACTGGACATGGAACAACAGACTGGTTCCAAATAGGGAAAGGAGTACATCAAGGCTGTATATTGTCACCCTGCTTATTTAACTTATATGTAGAGTATGTCATGAGAAACACTGGGCTGAATGAAGCACAAGCTGGAATCAAGATTGCAGGGGGAAATATCAATAACTTCAGATATGCATATGACAGCACCCTTATGGCAGAAAGTGAAGAAGAACTAAAGAGCCTCTTGATGAAAGTGAAAGAGGAAAGTGAAAAATTTGGCTTAAAGTTCAACATTCACAAAACTAAGATTATGGCCTCCGGTCCCATCACTTCATAGCAAATAGATGGGCAAACTGGGGAAACAGTGTCAGACTTTATTCTGGGGGGCTCCAAAATCACTGCAGATGGTGACTGCAGCCATGAAATTAAAAGACGCTTACTTCTTGGGAGAAAAGTTATGACCAACCTAGACAGCATATTAAAAAGCAGAGACATTACTTTGCCAACAAATGTCCATCTAGTCAAGGCTGTGGTTTTTCCAGTAGTCATGTATGGATGTGAGAGTTGGACTATAAAGAAAGCTGAGTGCCAAAGAATTGATGCTTTTGAACTGTGGTGTTGAAGAAGACTCTTGAGAGTCCCTTGGACTGCAAGGAGATCCAACCAGTCCATCCTAAAAGAGGTCAGTCCTGGGTGTTCATTGGAAGGACTGATGCTGAAGCTGAAACTCCAATACTTTGGCCATCTGATGCAACGAACTGGCTCATTTGAAAAGACCCGACGCTGGGAAAGATTGAGGGCAGGAGAAAGGGACGACAGAGGATGAGATGGCTGGATGGCATCACTGACTCAATGGACATGAGTTGGGGTAAACTCTGGGAGTTGGTGATGGACAGGGAAGGCTGGCGTGCTGCAGTCCATGGGGTTGCAAAGAGTAGGACACGACTGAGCGATGAACTGAACTGAAGGAAAAAAAATGGTGTTGGCAGAACTGAGCATTCATATGCAAAAGAATGAAATTGGACTCATATCAAATATAAAAATCAGCTCAAAAGGAATTTAGGATCTAGACATAAGAACTAAAACTATAAAATTCCTAGGAGGCTTAGGGGAAAAATTTTTATAACATTGGACTTGGCAATGATTTTTTGGATTTAACACCGAAACACAGGCAACAAAAACAAAAATAGACAAATCAAAATTATATCAAATTAATATATATATCAAAATTATCACAAATCAAATTTATATCAAAATTTAAAACTTTTGTTCATCAAAGGACACAGTCAACAGAGTGAAAAGGCAATCTAAGAAGAAAATATTTCAAATCCTGTGTCTGATAAGGAGTTTTTATTTACATGGAATATACAAAGAACTCCTACAACTCAACAACAAAAATCAAATAACCCAATTTTTAAATACTTGAATAAACATTTGTCCAAAGATGAAATACAAATGGACAAAAAACATAAGAAAATATGCTCAACAACACTAATTATAGGAAAATGCAAAGCAAATCTACAAAGAGATATCATCTCACACCCATTTCTTTTTAAAAAAAAGAAAATAATAAGTTCTGACAAAGTTGTAGAGAAAATGGAAACCTGTTGGTGGCATTGTAAAATGGTGCATATTTGGAACATAGAAAACAGTATAGAGTTTCCTCAAAAAAACCTGAAAATAGAATTATCATATGATCCATCAATCCTATGTCTGGGTATATATCTAAAAGAATTGAAAGCAGGGCCTCAGAGAGATATTTGCATATAGTGTTCATAGCAGCACTGTTCACAATATCCAATAGGTAGAAGCAACCCAAGTAAGTGTACACTGGTGACTGGATAAAGAAAATGTAGTATATACATAAAATGGAGTATTATTCAGTCAAAAAACAGAAATCATATCACATTGTACAACATGGCTGAAACTTGATGACATTATGCTAAGCGAAATAAGCAAGTCACCAAAAGACAAATACTGTGTGATTCCACTTAGATAAAGTACATAAAGAAGTCAAATTTAGAGAAACAAAAATAGAATGGGTGGTTACCAGGAGCTAGGAGATGGGGAAATGGGGAAAGGAAATGGGAAAATGGGTACAGAGCTTCAGACTTGCAGAAAGTTTTGGAGATCTGTTTCACCACAACATGAATTATACTTAACACTACTGAACTGTACACTTAAAATGGTTAAGGTAGTAAATTTGGTGTTATGTGTTTTATCATAATTAAAAAATTACATTTTATATAGTTAGTTTTTATATAAGATGGCTTTTTCCTCAACAAAAAATATTCATTAAGCATATGCTTTCTAATGAGTAACTAAAGGTAAAGGATACATCTCTTCTTATGTGATCACTTTTCCTTTTTCTGTTAGGCATATATGAAACCTGTAAAAATCAACATCTTCAGTGGGTGTCAGATTCCAGGTGGAAGCAGTGTCTTTATATCAGCAATTCACTAGAGCCTTTTTCTCTTCTATGTAAATCCCTGTTATCAAATGTGTCACAATGGAATGCTTTTAAAAACAGTAAGGCTGTATATTTGCTGATGAGCACAGCTTTCTCTTCAGAAAATGCTTCCTTAGAGGAAAGTGAAAAATCACCAGAGATAGGTAAAGTATTCAGTGTCTTAATCTAACTTCATTACGTATATATGAGTATATAGATTATCAAGTTATCAATGTAGTTCAATATCTTATGAAAAAACTAAAGGGAGGAATGTAACTATATAATAAGCACTTGTTATTTAATGTAATTCTCATTCCACATTTTTCTCCATTTTACTTTCCCCCCAGATTTTTGCCACAAAATACAATTATGTTATGCAAAACATGAACAGCCTTAGATATATATCCTTTACTTTTATTTCTCTGGGATAACCAGAAATGGAATTGTTGGGTCAAAAGTATAGTTTTTATATTAATAGTTGCTTCCAGTTGCCTTCCTTGAAAGTCCATAATAACTTACATTTCCACCAGCAATATATGAGTGCTCCTTTTCAAAGAATAGCATTGATTCTTTTTAACTTTTACCAATCTGAAAAGTTTAAAGTCTTTAACTTTATCTGTTACTATCAAGTTTAAGTAAGTACTTTTCAGATGTAAGTACTTTTTCAGATGTTTGCCGACCATTTGAATTTGCTTATTTACATACTTTGCCCATTTTCTACTCCATTGTTGATCTTTTTTTTGTCCATTTGTAATAACCCTATTAGTATAATGTTGTTGTTTGGTGGGTCAGTCATATCCATATATCATTGTGACCCTGTAGACTGCAGCACACCAGGCTTCCCTGTCCTTCACTATCCTGGCTGCTGCTGCTGCTGCTAAGTCACTTCAGTCGTGTCTGACTCTGGGCAAGCCCATAGATGGCAGCCCGCAAGGCTCCCCCGTCCCTGGGATTCTCCAGGCAAGAACACTGGAGTGGGAGCTTACTCACACTCGTGACCATTGAGTCACTGATGCCATCCAACCATCTCATCTTCTGACACCTCCTTCTCCTCCTGCCCTCAGTCTTTCCCAGTTTCAGGATCTTTTGCAATGAGTCAGCTCTTCATATCAGGTGACCAAAATATTAGAGTTTCAGCTTCGGCATCAGTCCTCCCAAACAGGGTTGATTTCCTTTAAGATTGACTGGTTTGATCTCCTTACAGTCCAAGGGATTCTCAAGAGTCTTCTCCAGCACCACAGTTTGAAAGCATCAGTCCTTTGGCACCCAGCCTTCTTTATGATCCAGCTATCACACCTGTATATGACTACTGGGAAAACCATAACTTTGACAATACAGACATTTGTTGACAAAGTGATGTCTCTGCTTTTTAATGCGCTGTCTAGATTTGTCATAGCTTTTCTTACAAGGAGCAAGCGTCTTTTAATTTCATGGCTACAATCACTGTCCATAGTGATTTTGGAGCCCAAGAAAATAAAATCTGTCACTGTTTCCACTTTTTTCCCTTTGATTTGCCATGAAGTGATGGGATTGGATGCTGTGATCTTAATTTTTGAATGTTGAGTTTTAAGCCAGCTTTTTCACTCTCCTCTTTCACCCTCATCAAGAGGCTCTTTAGTTCCTCTTCACTTTCTGCCATTAGAGTGGTATACATGTGAGGTTGTTCATCTTTCTTCTGGCAATCTTGATTCCAACTTGTGATTCATCCAGCCCGACATTTCGCATGATGTACTCTGCATAGAAGTTAAATAAGTACAGTGACAGTATACAGTCTTGTAGTCCTCCTTTTGGAATTTTGAACCAGTCAGTTGTTCCATGTCTGGTTCTAACTGTTGTTTATTGACCTACATACAGATTTCTCAGGAGGCAGCTAAGATGGTCTGGTATTCCCATCTCTTGAAGAATTTTCCACAGTTTTTTGTGATCCACACAGTCAAAGGCTTTAGTGTAGTCAATGGAGCAGTAGATGTTTTTCTGGAATCCCCTCGCTTTTTCTATGATCCAATGGATGCTGGCAATTTGATCTCTGGTTCCTCTGCCTTTTCTAAATCCAGCTGTAGGTCTGGAAGTTCTCAGTTCATGTAGTGTTGAAGCCTAGCTTGAAGGATGTTGAGCATTACCTTGCTAGCATGTGAAATGAGTACAGTTATACAATAATAAAATTATTTACTTATAATTAATTAGCGTAACATGGTATTGATTTTTGTCTTGTTAAAAATATTAAACAGCTCATTCAAATATTTTTCAAAATCTGTCATTGCTTATTGGATTTGTCTATAATATCTATAACATACAAGTGTTTAACTGTTTGTATAGTTATTTATGTCTGTCTTTTCTTTTACAATTTTTTCATTTCCAGTTCTGATTAAGAGGTTTTCTTCTTCTGCTAAAGTTTTCTCTTAGATTCATTATTGTTTTATTTTGTTGCATTTTGCGCTAATCTATCTTGGATTCATTGTTTATTATGCCGTAAGATAAGAGTCGATATCTTTCATTTAAAGGCACTCTTTACTGACTTTTTGTTAAGTGAAGATCTTTTACTTTGCAAGTAACTGCAAGTTTATCCATTTTTAACTAGATGTTCATGTATTGTGGACTTTTTAAGATCAACAGAATATATCTTGTCTATTTAAAAAAGCTATTTCTCTTATCTAAGTTGTATTTAAAGTTAGACTTTGAGGAAATAATGTAGAAATAAAAGATTGGTAGAAATGATAGCTGTGTATGGAATAGATGGAAATGAAAACTAGAAGTTTTCCCACCTTGCAAGAAAGTTTGATCCTGTGGTGACTGTATCAAAGGTTAAGTGTGACTCTGTCAAAGGTAAGAGGGGTCAAAATTTTTAAATATATTTGTATAATATTCAGTTTTTCAAAAATTTGAAAATCATTGCATTTCCATTTGATCCTCATTTCTTATATCTGTTATAGGTAGATTCTGAACAGAAATCTCTAGCCTCTAGAGTTATTGTTTATATTTATTAGTTATCAGTTTATATTCTATTATGTGAATAGAAATCTCTACCCTCTAGATATTAATTCATAAACAATATATATTCAGGATCAGGTCATAAAATATTAACTCTGCCCTTTGTTTCTCATTTTTTTTCCTTCTGTCATCCATCATTCTTCAACCATTTCACCAGAGACGAGTTGAAAGTTAAGTCTACCTTAAGATATACCTCTTTTACAATATTAAAGATAGTTAGCAATGCCTGAAATCTCACAGAAATCTCACTTTAAAAGAAGCTAGCAGTGTTTTAAACAAAACCTCACAATTTTATAGTGAAAAAAAAAATCATTGTATTACCTTTTGGTGATCCAAAGTATTTTATTGTTAATCTCAGTTTCTCTAAATTTTATCTAGCTCAAGTTTTTAATGAAAATGAAGAAATATACAGTTCTATAAATTTTCCGTGGGAGAAACTCACTCCATTTCAAAGACTTATTTTGGTAAGATGTGTTATGAGAAAATATTGATGTTCTAAATGTTTTGAGCACTTTATCAGTAACTTAAACTCTTTAAATTTTAAACTTTTATGAGCAAGATATATAGATTTTGCAATCTAATATTTAGTAAACATTACTACTAGGGAAAAGCACTTACATTCCATTTTAATGTGCTTTTATGTGGCGGGAGTTCAATTAGAGTAACAAATATTCTTAGCATCTTTCTGCACCCTTATTCATTCCTCCCTAGAAAGGAGGAAGGACTTGTCACATAGGTAATCTGAGAGATAAAATCAGTGTGCATAGCTTAATCCTTCTCCCCTATCCATTTGGGGATTAGCCTTTCTGCAAAAAGCATAATTTCTGCTCTGCTTCTCAATGCCATAAATTGTACAAGAACGTACCAGGGCTTTTTAGGGAAAAGTCAAAGACTGCCCAGCACTGCTTGTGACAGAAAAGTCTGCCGAATTCTACGGTTTAGCATCAGGAAGTACACACACCTAAACCGTATCCACCACCTTGGCCTATATTGATAATAAATGTGGTATTTTCCCTGATTCCTCTGTTAGTCAATGCCTCAGAATCTGGCTGTGAGGTTGGCACGTTAGGGATGTGAATGGGTGTCATTTGTGAGCCCCTTAAAGTAAGTAAAGGTTAACATGTACTCAGCAGTTTTCATAAATTATTTCATTTAATCTTCATAATCATCTTGGGGGTAGACATTATTATTTTCCCTTTTTATAGAATGCCTAATTGAGCCAGGACTGAAACTCAGACAATTTGACTCTGAAATCTATGCTTTTACCAGTAACACCATATTATACTTGCCAAAGTAGATAATTTGAAGTAGATTTTTCTAAATTTGCCCTTATCACCTCAAACAATCTTTAATTTTCACATTTAGCCTCTAGTTTAGGGAGGAGGAAATCCCTCCTCTTGTTTCGCTTTTCCTTTAACTTCCTGAAAATGCCAGCCTAAACAGCCAATCATCTTTCTTTTGGTTTCTGCCTTAAATTTTATTTTTACATCACTTTAAAATTTACTCACGATGTTGCAGAAAAAGATTGCACCTGACTTACAGACAATTTTTATTGGGCCTGTGGTTTTGTTCTCTCAATATTTCAAGTACAATTTATCACTAAACAAGTGAATTTGAGCCTTTGGAGATCTTTTTTATAAAATTTCAAAATCTCCAATAAAGATAATCAAAATAGCAGAGACTATTTTAAATATTCTATGTCCTTATATCTTAAAGTGAGTTGTTTCCTTTCCAACTTTTTATTGTGGCATAGCATACATTCATTATTTCATTTACTCCTGATAATAATCCCTCTTAAATTTATTTAAATATAAAGTTCAGTGGCAGTAAGTACATTTACAAGATTGTGAAAACTCACCACTAGCCACTTCTAGAAATTTTTATCATCCCAGACACTGTACAAAATAATTCCCCATTATTTCTTCCCATTAGACCATGGCAACTACCCTTCTACTTTCTGTCTCTCTGAACTTGCCTATTCTGTTGTTATTTTTGTTCAGTCATTAAGGCGTGTCCAACTCTTTACAACCCCACAATCTTCAGCACACCAGATTCCTGTCCTTTACTATCTCCCCAAGTTTGCCTAAATTCATGCCCATTGAGTCAGTGATGCTATCTAACCATCTTACTCTCTCCCACCTCCTTCTCCTTTGGCCTTGTATTTTTTCCAACATCAGGGTCTTTTCCAATGAGTTGGCTCCTCACATCAGGTGACCGAAGTATTGGAGCTTCAGCATCAGTCCTTCCAATGAATATTCAGGGTTGATTTCCTTTAGGATTGACTGGTTTGATCTCCTTGCAGTCCAAGGGACTCTCAAGAGTCTTCTCCAGCACCACAACTCCAGAACATCAATTTTTTGGCACTTAGCTATCTTTATGGTTCCACTCTCACATCTATACATGACTACCAAAAAACCGTAGCTTTGACTATATGGACCTTTGGCAAAGTATTGTCTCTGCTTTTTAATACACTGTCTAGGTTTGTCATAGCTTTTCTTACAAGGAGCAAGCACTTTTTAATTTCATGGCTGCAGTCACTGTCCACAGTGACTTTGGAGCCCAAGGAAATAAAATCTGTCACTGCATCCACTTTTTCCCTTTCTATTCGCCATGAAGTGACAGGACTGGATGCCATTATCTTATTTTTTGAATGCTGAGTTTTAAGCCAGCTTTTTCCCTCTCCTCTTTGACCCTCATCAAGAGGCTCTTCAGTTCCTCTTTACTTTCTTCCATGAGAGTTGTATCATCTGCATATCTTAGGTTGTTGATATTTCTCCCATAAATCTTGATTCCAGCTTGTGATTCATCCTGCCCGACATTTCACATGCTGTACTCTTCATGGAAGTTAAATAAGCACGGTGACAACATACAGCCTTGACCTACTCCTTTCCCAATTTTGAATCAGTCCATTGTTCCATGTCCAGTTCTAACTGTTGCTTCTTGACCTGCAAACAGGTTCTCAGGAGGAAGATAAGGTGGCCTGGTATTCCCATCTCTTGAAGAATTTTCCACAGTTTTTTGTGATCCACACAGTCAAAGGCTTTAGTGTAATCAATGAAGCAGTAGATGTTTTTCTGAAATCCCCTTGCTTTCTCTGTGATCCAGCAAATGTTGGCAATTTGATCTCTGGTTTCTCTGCCTTTTCTAAATCCACCTTGTACATCTGGAATTTCTCAGTTGAAGCCTAGTTTGAAGAATTTTGAGCATAACCTTACTAACATGTAATGGTTCAATTGTACAGTAGTTTGAACATTCTTTGGCATTGCCTTCCTTTGGGATTGGAATGAATACTGATCTGGATCACAGCCTTGTCATGGCAAAGGGGCTTGCATAACTCTATGAAGTTATGAGCCATGCCTTGCAGGGCCACCCAAGACAGACAGGTAATAGTGAAGAGTTCTGACAAAACATAGTCCACTGGAGAAGGGAATGGCAAACCACTGTAGTATTCTTGCAGCAAGAACCCCATGAACAGTATGCCTATTATCTATACTTCATATAAGTGGAATCATGCAACATTTATCTTTTTGTGTCTGACTTATTTCATTTAATGTCTTCAAGTTCCATCCATGTTGTAGCATGTGTCAGAAATTTTCAGAGCTGAGTACTATTGCATTGTATCAAATGCCACATTTTGTTTATCCATTCATCTGTCCAAGGACGCTTGGGCTGTTTCCACCTTTTGGCTGCTGCAATTGATGCTGCTAGAACATTGGTATATACATTTGTAGGGGTTTTTTTGTTTTTATTTTTCTTTGGGTTTGGTTTTTTCTTCTTTTGAGCCAAAATTTTCAACTTGAGAAATTTGACATAAAAATCCAGATTTCCAGCATTTATTAAAAAATTAAAAGTTCAGCTAATACTTGGCCCAAAATCATCCATAGAGATAGCGAGAGCTGAGTACTTTCTGCCCTTTTGGAACAGTGTATCATAATCTTCACTGCTCCCAATTATTTCCTGACACTGAGATTGAATGCTATTTGCCATTTAACATCATATTTGAATAACTTTTTATCATACAGGAGAATTATTTTTCTTCAGCCAAACCCACTTCTCCAGTTTATGTTATCCACCTGACAACTTTAGACATGTTTGTGGATTATTGATGCAATTATGACATTAAGATGTATTTAGCTATATTAACTGACAAATGCAGAATACTTAACAGTCTGTATAGCAAAAACTCCATTTGTGGGGGAAAAAAGAACAGGTTAGATAGATGTTCATTTGTATATATAAAATATAAAGAACAATAAGAAACAAATAGTGGTTATCTAGGAAATAGGATCTTCATATTTCAATTTATACTTTTTTAGAAATTTTATGTAACAAGTTATATAGCAAGTATTATTTGAATTTTATGTAACAAGAAGTATGTATTACCTTAACAACAAAATTAACTACATTTTAAAACCCATGCTACATTGCTCTCCCCCATTATGCTCCAAGTGGTTTTAGTTTATCAACTAGCAACTTTATGAGTATAGTCATCCTATTTACCAAATTCAGGGTCAGAAGACATGGTCTGATAAAATGTTAAGTGTATGTATAGGGAAATTGAGTTTAAATATTTGAAACTGGGTCTGACCTGTAAGAGTCAGAAATTGCCACTTATAAGATTTAGAATATACTAGGGAGAAGAGTCAACCTAGAGAAGGATGATATCATGGAGCTTCACAGGGGCAAGGACTTTGTCCAGTTTATTCACTTCCCTCCATTTATATAACCCATTGGACAGAAAAGAGGGAGAACGATGACAATGAGGAGATATGGACATGGGGAAATTTTTCAGAACTATATGAAGCTTCTTAGAAAAAAGCTAATAAAATTTATTTCAATGAAATCCATTTCTTCAAACATCTCTTTCTTTCCCACTACCCACCTCCCCCAAATTTCTTGGGGTTAAAAATTATAACAAAAGTGGAGAAATTCAATGTTTGCTTGATTAATAAAATAAAGAAGGAACCAGCAGCATAATGGTGACAAAAGATGACAATCATTTTGGGATGGGGAATACATGTATATCCATGGCTGATTCATGTCAATGTATGACAAAAACCACTACAATATTGTAAAGTGATTAGCCTCCAACTAATAAAAAAATAAATTAAAAAAAAAAAAGACAATCACATTGGGGAGACAGAGTCTTAGCAGTGATGGACCACAACTCATGGTGTTTCACTTGGTTGATTCTCACACTTTCATAACTGGAAATACTGAGTGAACTCTGTCAGACCCCAGATTCTATGTATGCTGCCAATTTTCATTTTTGAAAATATATATGTTGCAATTAGTTAAAAATTTGAGATTAATTTTTCCAAAGGATACAGAAAAGAGCAAACTCAACATAATGAGTTTATATTAGGTGTTCTTTGAAATATGTGAACTTGCCAATAGTTGATGGTTTTTGACGATGACCCATGGTTCAATCTCGTACCTCCACAAGACTCACAGACAATTACGGTTTTAATTTTGCCTTAAATGATGGAGTCTCTGAAAATGCTCAGCACAGAATGTATGATCATTCTGTAAAGAAATAGCACATAAGTGATTAGTTTAAAGCAGTTTTCATGGAAAATGTCTGAAATTTGCAATGATTTCCAGTGGATGAATTTGTATTTACCACATGTATACTGTTTGCAAAATCTTTTAGTCCCTCTAGAGTTCTCTGCAGATGTGTGCTCAGCTTGTTTAAACACACAAACATTGTGCTATTGATTTTCATTTTATTAATGGAAGAGGTAGTACTTTTCCAACTATGCTATCCTGGATTTTCATCCTCTAATATCATGGTGTTTTTCTTGCTCTAGATATGTATGGCAGAGCAGGAAAAAAACCCAGGGGCATGGTCTCTTTTTGCAGAGTCAGGGACCATAACTTGGATTTGCACGTACAAAGTAAGATCACAGAGTGTGAAAGATAGAGGCACCAGATGGCCTTGGCATCTAGAAAGGACCATAGGATGGTCAAGAGTGGTGGTGGCAGCTTTCCCACCACACATAGACTCCCCTCGTCATCAAATTTTCCCAACCCAAGGAACACCACAAAACTTTTGAAGGGCAACCTAAATACTAAATACTTCTTAGTTTGTTTCCTCTTACCACAGGGGATATTCCCTTGGGTAGTTTTTAAAGTTATTTACCTATCATGGTTTCTTTCTTAGATAAAAATTCTTAGACCAGAAGGTTTAAAGAATTCTGTGAAAAGGTTTATAACTGAAAAAATAGGAAATGAATATATTCACAGTACTGGAACCAGTTTGAAGGAATCGTATGAAGAATCCAATGCCAGAACTCCACTGATACTTATTCATTCCCATGGTAAGCTACTTGTGAACAGTTAAGATGACATGATGATGTTTTTCAAAAGATGTAGAGAAGTAGGTTCTGTGTGAGGGTGTTCTGTGTTTAAAATATTTCCCTATTCTTAAATATTTGGGGAAATTGTCCTATTCTTAAATATCTTAAAGAATTGGGCTTCCCTGGTGGCTCAGATGGTAAAGCATCTGCCTGCAATGCTGGAGACTCAGGTTACATCCCTGGGTCGGGAGGATCTCCTGGAGAAGGAAATGGCAACCCGCTTCAGTACTCTTGCCTGGAAAATTCCATGGACGGAGGAGCCTGGTAGGCTATAGTCCATGGGGTTGCAAAGAGTCGGACATGACTGAGCCACTTCACTAAATATCTTAAAACTGTAAACTATATTAAGAATGAATCTTTCAAACAGATTCACAGGTATAGAGAACAAACTTGTGGATATCAGTGGAAAGAATGAAGAGGGGAGGGACAAGTTGAGGTGGAGGACTGGGAGGTACAAACTACAATGTATAAAATAAATAAGCTACAAGGATATATTGTACAACAGAGGGAATACAGACAGTATTTTATAATAACTATAAATGAACTATAACCTTTAAGAATTATGAATCACTCTGTTATACATCTAAAAGTTATTTACATCATTATTGTACATCAACTATATCTCAATTTTAAAAAAAGCAAATAAAGCAATAACACATTTAAAAAAAAGAATGAGGAGTGTGCTCAGAGCAGAGGGCCTGAAGAAATGGCTTGTCTGTTTATAACACACCCGACAGGAATCTGGATTCACTGTGATGAGGGGCACAAAACGTGAGGTCTTCCTCTGAGCAGAAACCCGACACGTGTACCCCTGCACCTCCACGTGGCTGCTGGGCAGGGCCAGTACTGGACGGAAAGCCACAGCACGTGGTGGGGCAGCTTGCCACCGCAGCCTGTCCAGTCCACGCCTGGGTGGGCCAGGAGTGGCCTCATAAATGGCCTGAATCTCTCATTTCAAGGAGAAAGAAAAAGATCCAACTGTATGCCATTCTGCAAAAGGCAAAACTGTGGAGACAATAAAAAGATGAGTGGTTGTCAGGAGTTTGCAGAGAGGAATGTACAGAGTACAGACGTTCTCATGAGCAGTGAAAGTACTTTGAGAGAGATTACAATGATGGATATATGTGGTCATACTTTTGTCCAAACCCATAGAATATGCAACACAGCTCTGCTCATTAAAGTGAACCCTAAGGTGAACTGGGGATGTTTTGATTATGTGTCAAAGTAACCATCCTTGGTCTAATAAGAAAAAAAAAAAAAAGAGGTACCATTCTGTTGATAATGGCTGTTTCATGTGAGGGGAGGGAGTATATGGGGAATTTCTGTACATTACTGTCAAGTTTTACTGTAAACCTAAAACTGCTTCTAAAAAAGAAAAAGGTCTCCAAAAAAAAATTTAACACTCAGGACAGACATTTTTGGCAAAACTTTTTTCACTTTTATGTATGTATACATATTACATATGTGTGTGTGTGTTTGTTGGATTGTGATATAAAATACTATAAAAATGTAAAAGAACAAGAAAAATGAGTTGTCCCAGATTCATGAATATGAGAAAATTTATCAGGGCTAGTTTTATATGCAGAAAATACCTCCCAAACACACATATTATTGATATGAAATTTGGGATTACTCTTGCTCTATTAACAATTTTAATTCATATTGACTTGTGAAAAAATGTTATAAGATTATCAGAAATACCTCTGTTGATTGTATGCTTGTGTGCTTCAAGACTTCAAATGCATTTTTTTTCTTTATCTTGTCTTTGCTCTACAGACCCTAAGCAAAATATTTTCTCCTTAGCAAAATACTTTCTTCATTTATTTTCTGCCTTTCATTATCTTCAAATCAAACATGTCTTTAGAACTCACCATTTTCAGACTTTGATTCTATTAGGAAAAGCCTTGTTCAAAGTGCCCCCACGTAGAGGCTTTCTCATCTAAACTCTTCCACGTAAAGCAGCTGGCTGTGTGCCCGACACGCTCATAACAGTGCCGTCTCTTTCTTGAAAACTTAGCCTGACATGGCAGCTAGGGCTGTGGCCATCACATCTATGTTCCAAACATCTGTCACCCTGTTAGACTGGGCTTGACATATACACACTACATATAATAAAACAGATAACTAATAAAGAACCTACTGTATAGCACAGGAAACTCTGCTCAGTATTCTGTAGTGACCTATATGGGACCTATATGGGAAAAAGAGTGGCTGTATACTATATATGTATAAGTAATTCACTTTGCTGCACAGAATGGAAGATAGCACAACATTTAAAAAACTTTGCTGCCAAAGCTTTTTCACAAAACATAAGGTGCTCATTCCTAGCTGCATGAAAGGCTAAAGATGAAGTATTTTAGCTGGGCACATGGCCATTTGGAGTAACACCAGGGTTCCGCTATAGAGGAGGAAGGGACAAGTAAGTGCTGGAGTAAACAACCCACAATCACTGCTGTAGTAGGATCACCTCATCTGTCACCCCATTAGATTGGGTTTGACATATACACACTGTATATAATAAAACCGGTAACTAATAAAGAACCTACTATGTGGCACAGGGAACTCTACTCGGTGCTCTGTAATGACCTAAATGGGAATAGAATCTGAAAAAGAGTGGCTATGTATATACATATACATGTGTGTGTATATATATAAGTGACTCACTTTGATAAACAGCAGAAACTAACAAAGCATTGTAAATCAACTATACTCCAATAAAAATTAATTTTGCAAAAAAAGAAAATGGAAGAGCCAAAATTTGAGCTCTACCTTCTGGTTTAAAAGACTAGTTTTTCCATTATGTGTACACCTTTTCCCACTACCACTTAATAAAAGCTAGAATGTATTTTTGAAGAGGGGATTAAATGACTTTACAATAGTATGTACTTTTCCATGTTGTTTTACAGGGATTGACCTCACCAGTACTCTCCTGAAATTTGCACAAGAGTTAATGGGAACAACCAGTCATGTGACCATGATTTCTTTGGGCCGTGGCCAGGCAGCTAAAGCAGAAGCCCTCATTGTTAAGGCCTTAACCAAAACAGAGCAATGGGTCTTCCTCCAGAACTGCCATCTTGCAGCATCGTTTATGCCAAGGCTCTGCACTATTGTAGAATCGTAAGAGTTTTACATTTATTTGTAAGGGCTTTGCAGGTGGCTCAATGGTAAAGAATCCACCAGCCAATGCAGGAACTAGAGGACCCTTGGGTTCAATCTCTGAGTCGGGAAGATCCCCTGGAGAAGGAAATGGCAACCCACTCCAGTATTCTTGCCTGGAAAATCCCATGTTCACAGGGGCCTGATGGGCTATAGTCCATTGGGTGGCAAAAAATCAGACATGACCAAGCAACTGAGCACCCATGCATGCATAAGGGATAAGAATATCATCAAAATGAGTTAAAACTGGAAATGGCAATGTACAACTGTGCTTAACCAGTGATAAAATAAAGTGTTAGGCCACTCAGAGGTAACTTAGGCTACCTTATGAAGGTTCTCTTTACTCCAAGAACTTGAAAGATACACTAGGAATATATCACTTTTTATTAGAAGAAAAGACCTCTTTAATTTTTACTTTCCATCCAGTTTATCAGTTTCTCTTTCTCCCCTTCTCAAACTCTCAATAGATATACACTTGTATATACACATGTATATAGAAATGCACATGTGGCATAGTTTGTAATATCCTATTGCTTCCACACAGCAGAATATAATACCTCATATCCATATTTCCCAGGTGGTGCTAGTGGTAAAGAACCTGCCTACCAATGCAGGAGAATTAAGAGTCATGGGTTGGATCCTGGGTCAGGAAGATCCCCTAGAAGAGGACATGGCAACCCACTCCAGTATTCCTGCCTGGAGAATCCCATGGACAGAGAAGCTTGGCAGACTACAGTCTGTAGGCTTGAAAAGAGTTAGACCCAAGTGAAACAACAAGCACAGCATCCATAATTTCAGTGATCATTTTCTTTATGGGCTGTATTTGGTACTTATTCTGACTTACTCTAGTTCAACCCACTGGCTGTTTTCTTCCAAAGTACTTGCTGACTCAAGCAAAACTTTCCATAGTTTCCGCCTTCTTCTTTGCAGTGAAAATATTTGGGAATAGAATGCTCTAACATTGCTTGAAGAATTAGCAAAGTGTTGAGTTAGCAATGTTTTAACAAACTGCATTCTATAGCTTTTTCCCCAGATTTGCATTTCTGTCTGCTTTACTGAGTATGGCCAATACTGTATCTAAAAGTGCCTTTAAATGAGGGTCTCTGCTTCTTCATGCTGTTACTATTCTGCTGTGAGCATCCACAAGGGAATTATGAAGCCAAAATGCAGCTGTCTGGCTTAAATTTCTAAAACCTTTACTAATATTATGCATTCTGTTCTCAGACTATTATTCTTTAAGCAGTTTAAAAACTATTTCCTAATTTCACTTTTTCACATTTGTTTCATTACTTGAGTCAGAAGATGAAGATTACTTAATTTTATGATTTCAATAGATGCAAACTCTGAAATATGACACAATAATTTCTACTAGATTTTTCATTATTAATTCAAAAAATATTTGTAGGAAACCTACTATTTGCCAAAAATCATTCTAGAGACTAAAGATACAGTACAGACCAGACAGTCACTGTATCAGCTTTCAAAAAGTGTATTAAGATAGAAAGGAGCAATAGAATGGCAGATAGCATTGCATCATTTTTTTTTCATTTATTTTTATTAGTTGGAGGCTAATTACTTTACATCATTGTAGTGGTTTTTGTCATACATTGAAATGAATTAGCCATGGATTTACATGTATTTACATGCATCATTTTTTAAAAAAAATTAATAAAATGTTCTTCAGAACAGTTTCAAAAGCTTAATAAGAGTAATTGATTATCATTAAAAGTATGCTATATAACCAGTTGTCTGAGGAGGCCTTACAGATAGCTGAGCAAAGAAGAGAAGCAAAAGACAAAGGAGAAAAGGAAAGATATTCCCATCTGAATGCAGAGTTCCAAAGAGTAGCAAGGAGAGATAAGAAAGTCTTCCTCAGTGACCAATGCAAAGAAATAGAGGAAAACAAAAGAATGAGAAAGACTAGAGATCTCTTTAAGAAAATTAGAGATATCAAGGGAATATTTCTTGCAAAGATGGGCACAATAAAGGACAGAAATGGTACAGACATAGCAGAGGCAGAAAATATTAAGATGTGGCAAGAATACATAAAAGAAAATTACAAAAAAGATCTTAATGACCCAGATAACCACGATGGTGTGATCACTCACCTAAAGCCAGATATCCTAGAATGTGAAGTCAAGTGGGCCTTAGGAAGCATCACTACGAACAAAGCTAATGGAGGAATGGAATTCCAGTTGAGCTATTTCAAATCCTAAAAGATGATGCTGTGAAAGTGCTATACTCAATATGCCAGCAAATTTGGAAAATTCAGCAGTGGCCACAGGACTAGAAAAGGTCAGTTTTTATTCCAATCCAAAACTAGCAGCCCACACAGAGAGAGGAAAATGTGAAAAAATTTTCTTAAATTTAGGAATTTAAGGAATACATTCACAATATATTGCCAGGAGGAAAAATAGAAGGCTACAAATTGTAGCCTGTATAGTACACGTATGTACAATATGTATTTTTATTTTAAAAATGAAATAGAGAATCAGAGAGGAAAAAAAGAAAAATACTTCATCAGATTTCAGATTTTATTTCTCTGTTTTATTTGGTATATTTTTGCTTTTGTTGTTTTGGGGTTTTTTAATATTTATTTATTTACTTTGACTGCACTGGGTCTTAGTTGGGGCATGTGGGATCTTCGCTTTGGCATGTGGACTCTTAGTTGCAGCATCCCGGATCTAGTTCCCCAACCACAAGAATCGAACCTGGGCCCCCTACATTGGGAGTGTGGAGTCTTAGCCACTAAAGCACCAGGAAAGTCCCTTGGTTTGTTTTAAGTTAAAACAATTTCAGACTTGCAGAAAAAATGCAAGAATGATTCAAAAACTCTCCTCTACTGTTAACCTCTTTTCCTCATTTACCCTAGCATTTCTTTATATATACATATGTGTGTATGTGTGTATGACATTTTTTAAATCCTTTGAAAGTTAAGTTCAGTGTCAAGGCAGACATAATGCCATTTGACCTCCAAGTACTGTGTGTGTCTGAGTCTGTGTTAGTCGCTCAGTTGAGTCTGACTCTTTGTGACACCATGGACTGAGGACTCTTGAGGTCCTCTGTCCATAAAACTATCCAGGCAAGAATACTGGAGTGGGTAGCCATTCCCTTCTCCAGGGGATCTTCCTGACCCAGGGATCAAACCGAGGTCTCCTGCATTGCAGGCAGATTCTTTACCTGATTATCTAATCAATAGAACTTAGTCATATCTAGCCTGTTATCCAAATAATATCTTTTATTGCAAAAGAAGAAAAATGTTAGGTCCAGATTCCAATTCAGGATTTCACACTGCATTCAATTGTCATGCCTCTTAATTCTCCTTTGCTCTAGAATAGTTCCTTAGTATGTTTTTATTTCTACAACTTGGACATTTTCTGAAAATTACAAGCCAGTCATTCTGTAAAGTGTCCATCAGTTTGGGTTTGTCTGCTATTTTCTCATGGTTAGAGTTACTTTAAGCAGTATTGCAGGAATACCACAGAAGTGTTGTTGAATCCTTCTTTGTACATCATAGCAAGAGGTAACTGATGTCAATCTGTTCCCACTACTGATGACATTTTTTATTTTGATTATTTAATTAAAGTGGTATCTACCAACTGAAGAGACACATCTCAAACTTTTCCCTACTACTTTTAACTTCCATTGATAATTTTTGGGTGAAAAATTACTAGACTATTTGTCAAATGGTAACTTTCTAACTCCATAATTTCTTCTAAATTTTAAATTTAATTCTACTATTAGGAGATTTTCTCCTCCCCATTTATTTATTCATTTGTTTACTTATATCAGCATGGGCTCATGGATTTCTATTTTATTCAGTGGATTGTAATCTGTTACCATGAATGTTTATTATGATGTTCAGTTGTGCCAGATTTGACCAATGAAACTGTGGTTTTTATTTTGTTCTTAATTTGTCATTTTTTCCAAGTTTTTTGCAATGAACCTAGATTATTTTTGTACCTAAGTGAGAGAAGACTACCTTTTCAAAATGGGAATTAATGGATCTTACACAAATTCTTATGCAATATAGAAGTTCTTATGGTTGGTTATTAAAGTGATTTCTAAGGCCATTTTAACATTAAAACAACTATGATTCTTAGAACATATTGATTTCATTTAAATTTTTCACATTAAAATATTTATAAATGTTTTCTTTTAACAGATTTAATAGTCCAGATATGACAATAGAGCCTAAGTTCAGGCTATGGTTAAGCTCAAAATCAGACAGTTCTTTCCCAATTTCTATCCTTCAAAAGAGTTTAAAGGTAAGGGCAATGTATAACAGATAGTAATATTGACTCTGAAGCACTGTTTGAATGTAAATTATCTTGTATTCATGATTCTGAATTAAGAGAGTGCTAATTCTAGTATGCTAAATCTTTCCTGTGCTCAGCCTTACATTGTGGACCAGAAAGGATGCACAAGTATAAACAAGATCCCTGTTTTCAAGGGATTGGACAGTTTAAATGTTTGTTTTCTCAAACAAGGATGCTTAGACTTCCAACTCTCATAAATCAGAAAATAGAGTAAAGAATTTGGGTCTTTTCCTTGCCTTTTGCTTCTCTAGCTTCTTCCTGTCTCTGGTCCCCCTAACTCTTTCACAATTTGTTATTAATTCTCTGAAAAGGATCTGGCAAAAAGCAGGTTGAAACTATTGACTGAAAAGTCCTATTGAAAAATTATCTGTGACTTCCATTCATATCCACCATTAAGTTTGAATAAATACTAAGAGTTGGGTCAATTCTGTTAAACAAGTGTCCAGTTGACCAAAAGATGGAGTCCTAATAGCAAAGAAAACTGACCAGTCGCACAGGCAGAACGCATGGCCAGATGCGGAAACACATGCACACTTCCAAGTTTAACAGAATTGGTGTGAAGACAGAGGGAATGGGGTGAATGGGCAGTTTCCTGATAGAGTCCCAATCCAGCCTGAGAATAAATCAAGTTTACTCTTGGGAAACAAGGAAACTTCTCCCTGTCCCATGACCCCAGGCTCTTCCCAGACTCCCGGGTGTATTTACCCAAGCCCACAGTACTGAGGCACTTCCCAGCTGCCCTACTCCTGGAGAAGATGGGACATGGATTGGAGAAATCTGCATCTTTTTGTCTGAGACTCAAGAGGGTCCATTTACCTCCCAGGGTCAGGCAGAGTATTACGTCAGACAGCGTTTTATCTTCATCCATGAGAGAGGGATATGAAAGGTGGCGACAGAGGTAGAACTTCAAGGAACATTTTAAGTGGTCTGTGAATAAATCAATCAGTCTAATCCTTAACTCAGAAATCTCACGTTCCACGGGAAACTCTACTCAAAGCTTTGTGGTGATCTATATGGGAAAAGAACCTTAGAAAGCGTGAATGTGTGTATATATATAACTGATTCACTTTGCCATACAGCAAAATCAAGCAACATTGTAAATTAACTATACTCCAGTGAAAATTAATTAAAATAAATAAACTCAATTTAAAAAGAAATTTCATGTTCATGTATGCACACACACATATATCATAGTACTTATCTACACATATTTATACATATCCACATAATATGAAGTACACATATATATATCTATGTGTGTATGTCTATGAAAACTGTGCAAGTAAAGAAACATTTTCAGACCTTTCGGTTTTAGACTTACATTCATGCTCTTTAAAAAAAAAAAAAAAAAGCCCTCCAAGTAATTCTCTTCCCACTTCACCTCCTGTACCTCCTCATTTCAGTTTTCCTAGGTAAGAAATCAATTGATTTTCAATGAAAACAGAGCACTTTAGTAACACACCAAGTTATTTCTCCTCTTTTTTCATACCACTGAAGATTAGATACTTTTGTTGGTTCCACAAGTTCTGTGTATGATATTTGATGCCCCTTCTCTCTTCTCTCTGCTGCCTTGCCCAGGCCATGCAACCCTGATTCTGTCACAGCCACTTAGCTGCCATCGAGCATTTAGAATATAGGAATTCTTCACTTTCAACTTTCTAAAATGCTGGGCTTGCCGAGCAAACAGGAGTGTTTTTAATAACATTGTTGTACTTCTTGTTTTAAAGCACGAATTGAAACAATTGGAAATCTGATACAATCCCTTTACAGAAGTTTTCAAATGGGAAAAGAATAACACAAGATTTTTTTATTTGCTACTGAATCTTAAAAAGAGTTATAGTCTTAGCACTTTCTGTTATCAGATATAGTCTTAGCTAGTTCTCCATGTAAGTAAGAGTCCCCCACCCCCACCAGTCCCAATGCCTGTGTCTGTCCTCGAAAGTTGTTTTTACTCACATCTGTTTTAAAGATTGCAGTGGAAAATCCCCAGGGACTGAAAAATAATTTACTTCAGACATTTGGATACAGTGGGAGTGGAGAGGTAACAGAAGAGTTATTTGAAAAACCTGACTGTGGACCATGGTGGAAAAAAATTTTATTCAGCTTGTGTTTCTTCAACGCTCTGATTAATGAAAGAAAAATTTATGGAATATTGGGCTGGAATATTGCATATGCATTTAGTTCTTCAGACTTGGAGGTAAGTCTGGTACTTTATATATAACAACAAATAAGTAGTGATAAGATCCAGAAAGCCTAGTCTGTATCTACACAAATACTAAATGTTTTTCAGGGTACTAAGGCAACAAACTCTGTAACTAGGCGATGAGGGCTGACTAACGTTTAAAACGTTTAAACTAATGTTTAAAAGCATGGAACTGGAAGCCCTGTTTTTAAGAATCAAATCAGAGCTCCTCTGCTTATAGCTGTACAGGATTTACAAGTTATTTGGCAAGCTTACTAACCTGTCTGGGTCTTAGTTTCCTTGGCCAAAAAAGTACCTCTGCCAAAGGGCATTGTTAGAGGCAGACTAGGGACTTCCCTGGTGGTCCAGTGGCTTAATTCTGCACTTCCAGGCTGGGGTTCAATCCCTGGTCAGGGACCCAGATCCCACCTGTTGCAACTAAGATCTGTCACAGCCAAATAAGCAAATAATTTTTTTTAAGAAAAATAAGAGCAGACTAGTCAATACAATGTGAATTGTAAAGCACTTAGAACAGTGCCTGACACATAAAAATCACCACAAAAGTGTTTGTTGTTTCTACTTATTCATTTAAAGCAATAAAAATTGCATTGACCCATTGTAGGTGGGAAATTTTAGCTGAAGAGTCTTCACTATTCTTTATATAGAACTCTTTATTTGTGTTTAATATTGCAAACTATTTTTTTTTTAATTTACAATGTTGTGTTAGTTTCTGGTGTATAGGCTCAGTGATTGTCTTTTTCATATTCTTTCCCATATGGCTTATCACCAGATATTGAATATAGTTCCCTGTGCTATATAGTAGGACTCTATTGCTTATCCATTCTATATATATAATAGTTCGCATCTGCTAGTTCCAAACCCCCAGTCCAACTCTCCATTGCTTCCCCTGTTTGGCAGCCACAAGCCTGTTCTTTATTTCTGTGAGTCTGTTTCAGAGATAAGTTCATTTGTGTCATATTCTAGATTCCACCGGAGAAGGCACTGGCGACCCACTCCAGTACACTTGCCTGGAAAATCCCATGGATGGAGGAGCCTGGTAGGCTGCAGTCCATGGGGTTGCTGAGAGTCGGACACGACTGAGAGACTTCACTTTCACTTTTCACTTTCATGCACTGAAGGAAATGGCAACCCACTCCAGTATTCTTGCCTGGAGAATCCCAGGGACAGGGGAGCCTGGTGGGCTACCGTCTATGAGGTCGCATGGAGTCGGACACGACTGACGCGACTTAGCAGCAGCAGCAGCTAGATTCCACACATAAGTGATATCATATGGCATTTGTATTTCTAACTTACTTTGCTTAGTATGATAATCTCTAGGTCCATCCATGTTGCTACAAATGGCATTTTTCATCCTTTTTTATGGCTGAGTAATATTCCGTTCATCGGTCAATGGATATTTAGGTTGTTTCCATGTCTTGGCTATTATAAATAGCACTGCTATGAACGTTGGGATGTGTATATCTTTTCAAATAATAGTTTTGTTGAGATACATGCCCAGGAATGGGATTTCTGGGTCATATGGCAACTCTCCTATTAGTTTTTTGGGGAACCTCCATACACTGCCTTGATTCCCCATACATCCTATTTGGTTCAGTTTCTCTGGAGAACACTGCCAAATACAACGAGGGGAATACTGATTAAAACCACAATAAGATACCACCTTTCAGTACAACAGTGACTAAAATAAACAAACAGAAATGTAGAGAAGTAGGCACTGTCTCATACACCTAATTTAATTGTTACTAACTTTCCAGAAGACAACTTGATAATATATTTTGAAAGCCTTTAAAGAATTCCTGTTACTACTGATATAGATGAAGATAGTCACATTTATAAGATTGATTGCCAAAACTGGGTTATAACAGAACATGTATAGTATGATCTCATTTCTGCACATATATCTAGAGTGTATGTTTATTTCAGTATACACTAAACCATCTGCAAGGGAAACAAATGGTAGGACTGCGGAGGGCAAGGTGTTGGCAGGGTATTTTGTCATGCAAAGAACTTGGGGTGAAAGGCAGCAGCTTTACTTGGCACAGGCTGGAGTTTATGGGATACTGCTGTCCTTTCGGCATTTGGCAGAGAGGCTTGCTTAAGCCAGAAGCAGCTGGTTACATCGTGGCACCGCTCTCCAAAAGAAGTAGTCTTTCCCTCTGTTCTCCCCTTTCATGTGGCAAGTGTGAGAGCATTCTTCAAAGAAACAGACCACCTGGGTGCCAGGATGTCTGAGTCTGGGTACCTGATGTTTAAGTAGTTGTCTAGAAATGCCAAATGTTAACACCTTGAAACTGTGGGAAATTGGATTCCTGCATAGCCCCTCTCATTAAGTGGAAACTTCTGGTTCAGTGGGAAGTTGAGTTTGGACACAGCTTCTCCCACTAGGGGGAGTTTCAGGCCCAGTCAGCTCCCTGTCAGGCAACTTGGAGAGTTTCCTCAGTGGACTGACAACCGACTGATGCTACCTGCCAGCCCATAGGACTAAACATCAATATATTTTCCACCACATGTAGGGCTACCACCACTTTAAGCTCCCCAAAGTCTGGACCTGAGCCACAATGACAAGACCAAGAAAAATAACATATCAACAAGATCCAGTAGCCAAGGAGAGAAAGAACACAAGAAATAGAACAGAAAATTATAAGAGCCCATAAGGATACAAAAGTACATACACATTTTACATACATGATTTTTTGTTACATGAGCACATATCAAAGAATTTTTAACTCATTGATAAAAGAATCAGCAGGATGGTAAAACTGATTTTTAAAAGTATTTGTTGTTTAATCGCTAAGTCGTGTCCAACTCTTACAAGTTGGACAAGGACTGTAGCCCACCAGGCTCCTCTGTCCATGAAATTCTCCAGGCAAGCATACTAGAATGGGTTGCCATTTCCTTCTCCAGAGGATCTTGCTGACCCAGGGATCAAACTGCATGTCTCCTGCATTGCAGACAGATTCTTTACCACTGTGCCACCAGGGTCCTTTTAAAAGTATAGGATTACAGGAAAAGGAGCTCAGAAAAGGGTGAGGGAAACAGGAAAACTTTTTCTTCTCTTTCACTGCAGCAGTTGCAGGTTAAACAGCTGCATGGATGCCTTTGAAGGTATTTTCTCAACATGCAGATGTGAGTTTGGGATGTAACATCCCCGGAGAAGACGCAGAGCAGGAGGAAGAAGAGGAGGAAATGGCAGCTTCTCGGCAGGTCTTGTGGTCTCTAAGCCAGACCTGATCACCTTTCTGGAGCAAATGAAGAATCCCTGGGATGTAAGGAGACTGGAGATGCCAGCCATATATACAGCTGTGTCTTCTCACAACACCAGTGCTCTGATGTCAAAGAATCCAAGGTTAGAAAATTTAATCCAAAAGGCAAACCTAGGAACATATGAAAGAGCTCACCTTGGAAATGAACATTTAATGAAAGACCAGGAATATACCGGGGTCTGTGAAAGACCTAGAATATGTTTATATGGACATAAAGGAACTGAGACAGTTTCACATGACGCAGACATGACTGCCAAAAGAAATGAGCAATGTGAGTCAAATTGGGGAAAACACCCATTTCAGTTATCAACATCTGCAGAGAAGCATACCTTTTAAAGCAAAGGCTTAAATCATTTTTTGAAACATACGCGTTCTCTGAAGGGGAATGTGGAAAATCTTGAAAGTCATCCAGTCTCTACTGCAAATACTGATTCAAACCACTCTGAACACAGGCTTCAATTACATATACATTCAAGCACGTCTGAAAACCAGAAATTTTAAAATGATGGGGAAAACTCACATTTATAATCAATTTGAGGGATCTGTGAGCAAGGGGTCATTATTCTTCCACCAACAGACAGTTTCTCTCTGTTCCAAAATGTGTAATGTTGATAATAATGGAAAAGAGTTAATCCCACCATCATTGTTCAATACAAATCATGATACAGTTAATACATTAATATGGTTAATACGGTTAATGTGGAACAACTTCTCACATGTAATAACATGAGTCAGGCCTTAAGTAAGAGATCTACCCCCAATAATTGCAATAATATTTACGATGGAGTGAGAAGCTATTCATGCAATGAAACTGGGTCTAAAACTGAACAAGACTCTAACCCTATGAAACATCAGGGACCTCAATCTTCAGACAAGGATTCTAAAAATAGTACATGTAGGAATATCTTTTATCAAACATCAGGTCTTCCACTAAAGAAGAGTACACATACAGGAGAGAAGACTTATAATTGTGAATATAGTGATATTTCTTATCAGTCTTCAAATCTTACTCAACAGCAGAATATTCAGGATCCGCAGAAAAGTTACAAGTGTAAGAAATGTGAGAAAGCCTTTACTAACTCATCCAGTCTAAGTAGACACAGGAAAATTCATTCAGGATGGAAACCTTTCAAAGGTACAGAATGTAGCAATGCCTCTAATCAGAATTCAAAGCTTAGTCAAGATCGGCAAATCCACACTGGCAAGAAACCTAATGAATGTAAGGAATGTGGAAAAGCATTTATGTCTTGCTCAATCTTAGTCAACATCAGCGAATTCATATGGGGGAGAAGCATTATAAATGTACAAAGTGTGGCAAAGCCTTTAATTAGAACTCAAAGCTTACTTAACATCAGCAAATCCATACAGAGCAGAAACCTTACAAATGTAAGGAAAGTGGCAAAGCCACTTTTAGGTGTTCACATTTCAGTCTGCATCAGCAAGTTGATAGACACCAAAAAATGTAAAGAATGTGGCGAAGTATTTCCTTGTAGCTCATCTTACTCAACATCAGATAATTCATATGCAGCAGAAATCACACAAATGTATGAAGTGTGGCAAAGCCTTTAATCAGAAGTCAAATCTTACTCAATACCAGAGAATTCATACTGGAGAGAAGCCTTATAAATGTAAGGATTGTGGCAAAGAATTTAACCAGTGCTCAGGTCTCACTTACCATCAGAAAATTCATACTGGAGAGAAGCCTTATAAATGTAAGGATTGTGGCAAAGC